CCATAAACCTTCATGGCCCATGCTACTCTTCCTACTCCAAGTCTCAAGACCAATGTCAGGAACTCTCTGAGTACTTCTGGGGAGACTGTCTAGGCTAGTCCAGATGGTGTGCCACTCCAAGGACCTTGGTAGAGCAAGATTTGGGAGGCTGCCTCTTCCATACCTCTGTGTTTATGTAATATGTATCCCAAGGTCCCTGATGGGGTTTTAAACCCTTCTCATACGGCCACCAACAATCCTCATAAAACATAAGTTAGGACTCCATTTTCTCAAGAACTTGTAAAGACTACCCAACACCCACAACAGACAAAAGATTACCTGATTGAGTGCTGGAGCACTCTCATGTTTTCAGCTTCCATTAAGCCACTGCAAGGACCCCTTTCTCTAGCAATTCCAAGCCATTTACTATGGTCTGAGCATTTTCCTTACTTCCCCCACCTTCCTAATTAAATTTACTAGACTTTACATCTCCATGCCTAACTTCCTCATCTGTAAAATGGGGCAAGAGTAATACCAACTCATTGAGTTGTAGTTAGGATTCAATGAGTTCACTGGCATTCTTGGAATGATGTCAGTATATGGTAAACAATGACTAGGCGTAAATAATATTATTTTTAGAGAATTTTCCTTATCATATGGGACCAGGTTAAACAGGATCATCCTCACAAACCAGGCTGAGCCTCCCACAGCAAGGTCTTCCTGTTCTCACAAATCATGCTAGTAGAATCTCCAAGTTGTTCTTATTCTATTCTGCTGTTCTTACTTGTCTGTCTCCTACATTAAACTTTAAATATTTTGAAGATAGAGATCTAGTCTAGCCCATCTTACTTTAGATCCTTCAAAGATCTCCCATAATACCTTAAACACTGTAGGCGCTCACTAAGTATTTGCTGAACAGCAATTAATCTGAGGAAAGGAATAGAAGCAGGCAGCTGAAGTGCTCAGTCTTTGGGGTTCCATTTGAGGATATAGCTCAGGAGCCCAGGCACTTATTCTATATGCCTACCTGATGGAGAAATATCCTCATTTGTGAGACTTTATTACTACAGCGAGCTTTTGTGAACACAGCCACTTGAAGGTAACTATGAAATGAACCGTGACTGTAACTGGGGATCCCTCAACTGAGAATCCATGAATGCATTTCAATTGTAGTCAAAATGATGTGCAGTGCACATTCTTATTTTCCAGAGACTTTTTAGATGACTTTCATTGACTATGCAATGGGGTCTGTAAGGCTTCCAAATTAAGAACTCTTAACTTACCTAGTTAGAGACCAAGTTCTCGCCCTCTAAGACTTCACTGCTGAAGAAAGACATGGCTACCTTCACAAGGTACAAACCCACTAAGCAGGGAGAAATGGGCAATGGGTGCTGGCTGGTTTTAGTGGAAAAGAGAGACTCCTTAAGTAATCCCATGTTAAGACATTAACCAGGAAGGGAAATAACAGGCAGATAGAATAAAGAGACTTGGAAAACTCCCTGGCGCTCCCCCTTGGTGGGTGTGGTGTATCCATTATCACACAATTGTCCTCAGCCTTATTTACCACAGACACTCCAGCAGTTGGCCAGATCTGGTTGTGAGGGTTGTTTCCTGCCAGGGTGACTAAAAAACATACTGTCTCAGGAATTAGACACACAAAATGAGACTGTTCACCTAATGATCTTGTGGAGAGTTAAGCACCACTTAAGTAAACAAGGTAAGCCTGATACTAGAAGAAGGGGAGACAAAGACCTCTAGTCTAGAGTCCCCTTAGTAGTTCCTGCTGGCAGATGACAGGAAGGGACCCTCACACAGGAGCCTGTTTTATTTGTAGAAGCCACAGTGGTAAATTAAAGCCCATCCTAGCCTGTCTGGGCTCTCTGGTTTCTCTTGGAGCTATTCCTATCACCACCCATAGGCCACTAAAACCTGCCCACATTCAGAATGATTGATTCTGCTCAAACAGCAAGCCACAAACTCACGTCAGAAAACCCACTTCAAATAAGTCATTAGCTTCCTTTATGGATTTTCAGGTCATAAGGAATAGGACCTGGGAGTCCTATCTTCTGTAGAGTAGAAAGGGGGTGGTAGAGTGAGTGCAAGAAATGGGAAAAGCCACAAAGAGTCCCTTAGTTTTCTGCCAATCAACAAGAGGAATCCAGCAAAAATAGGTTTGGGCAACCCCATGGTTATTGCCACATATTCCAAGGTGAAGCAAAGGGCCTTCAAGGCCTCCATTCCTACACCGGAAGTGAAGGAAAGTGTAGAGAGAGCCAAGCAGGTGCCTACCTTTGCTCCTCTGATGGTGTGTGTAAAGCACCTGAGACCTAGGCAGTTGCTGTAAAAAAAGAGTGTCACAGATTTTCTGACTTGTCCTAGGATGGGCCATCCCAGCTAAACGCGATGAAAACCACTGTGAGATGATGGGATAGAGCTTCCCTGTGCCATAACCACGGTCATAGCAACAGCCCAAAGGCACCAACACGGGAAGCCTGAGTTCTGTAGCTTGGCAAGTTTCGGCTCACCACCTGACCCACGTTTAGCAATTCTGATGTACCACGGAACAGACAGCTCCAGCCCAGGATGACTGTCTCCCTCAGCCCCTCTCCGGCAGGCAATGAAAGCAAGATCCACTTTGAAAATTCTCCCCCATCATGCAAACTGACATAGGCATGCTTTTCAAAAACCCACAGCCAATCTGTTGATCATTACTTATTTACAAAGGCCTTCGGGCAGAAAGTCCTGTAAAAACCATACTTGATACGGTATACACTAGCTTTTTCTGCTTGTGGAAAAAAAAGTCCCCCCAAGGCTACCTCAAACCATCACTTTCTATTGCACATAAAATGTAGCGTGTAACACTAAAGTATTTAATATATATGGTATAATATATCTACAGGAAAGGCATTTGTGTAGAAGTATGTTACCCTGGATTTGGTAATTTGATGTTTTGCTGAAGGCTACGACTTAAAAAAGCCTCCACCTCGTACAGAAGACCTGTCATCTTGGTACCCAAGAGCCAACAGAATAAAGAAGTACCCTTAAGCAGCAAAACTTTGACACAGCTTTGAAGCATATGAAAACAGTATAACTCCTCAGAATTATTATTACTCAAGATCAAAGAAATGAGCCATACTTTACATAGCAAACAGGGACAGGGAATTTGGCTCCAAAGGTTTCAGATTTTTCAGACTTCTCTTTATTTATTTATTTGAGTCTCTAAATTTAGGCAAAGGAAAGCGCCCAGGCTCTTCTCTATTTTAAATGGATAAAAACTATTAGCATTAGATAAGGCGATTACCTAAAGGTGAGTAAATAGGAAATGAATGCTAGCATGACAACTGGCATCATAAAAATGAGAAGCTTGGCAGTTGGCGCATTTTATCCCTCCTCATAAACTGTAAACAAGCATGTAAATCAGCGGCGCCCAAGCAAGGCTGAATGAAGGGGAAGGCGGAAAACTTTTAAGGAAACATTTAGCAGGAATAGACAGCCACAGTGGGACAGGAGATAGGGCTGGGTGAATCTTCACCGAGAACCTGTGTCCTCAACCCCAGGTCAGAAGATGGCATGTGCACATGTCCCAGAAACATGGATATGTGGGCGAGTAAGAGGCAAATGTGGTTGAGAAATGGGGATGGAAATCACCGTGATCGTATGTCAATAGTCCAAGAGAAGAGTGGCCAATGGCAATGAAAAGAGGACGGCATCAAGATGGCAGATGTTTCCAGCCGTAACCATTTAGGGTGAGGAGTGCAAGTCTGAAATCACTCCCACTTCACTGAGGTGCTAGAGAGAGTCAGGATGTTAGAAGAAATGAGCGCCAGGTCTGAGAGATGAAGGAAAGACGGAGGGGGGGGGGGGGGGGGA